CTTTGATTAAAAGAGTTGCGGAATTTGTTCCCAAAACGAAATATGATAAAATAAGATTTACCAAAGAATTTCTTAAAGAAATGTATTTTCATTATATAACAAAACTCGGGATGTCATGTTCCGATACAGACCAAAAGCATAAACGGCACATTATAAGCCTTACAACAGTTATATACACTACTGACCTATAATCAAAATATATTGATAAGTCGTTCAACTTATGCTCTCGCGCCACTACCTGTAATACAAAGAAAACTGAGTGGGTCAGGCTTGGGAGCCTGGTGAGCATATAGGGTTTTCAACCCACAATAAATAAATTTATTAATTTCATCAAACAACAATAACCCGATTACCCATTCCCGTTATCCTCACTTTACGTCCCTAAAACAACTATCACAAGGGACCTAGTCTAAGGATTTTCATCGGGGTGACAACACTGCTTTGGGGGTTTCCCAGCAATTTATGTCAAATAAGGCAACCATGTAGGGGATGGAGTACAACAAATGAACACCCAAGCTCATTAACACCTACAGGTTGCGAGTCTGCTAACGTTCCACAAGACTATCTAGAAAAGTCTGTGGTCGTCATCCATACTCCGCTAGATGACTGAATCACAATAACATCGAGGCCTCTCATCATTTTATTTCATCACACATCAACTATCTACCCATGTTTTACCCAACATATTTGTAGATAAATATACATATACAGTTTAATTTATTTAAAAACCTGTATAAATCATTCATTCATCATCCATCTCAAATAACTAAACAATATATATTCACATAGCACGTATTTTATATAAAATACTTCATATCTATGTGTAAGATGAAAGTGACTATACACTCACTTGATTTAACGATAATCAGGCAACACTTCGTTTCCTAAAACGATCGTTTCTGATAAAACTGGGAGCTTTAATGAAAACCGGGCTCTGCGAGGGTTGGGCTTCAAACTGAAAAGATAAATTTCTCGGGCTTCTCGGGCACTTCGGGGCGTGTTTCGGGTGTTGGAAATAAGCCCGGGGCTTCGGGGGAAGTTGAAATAGTGAAAATATGAGTTTAGGGTGAAAAAGTGCCAAAATCCCAAAATTACTCGGAAAATCTCGCAGCCCTCCCTTTTATAGGGTGCGAGCTTCGGATCCGAGGGCTGAGAAGCGAACACGCGGCTCGCATGCGAGGCTCCAGGTGGCTCGCTTCGCAGGTCAACACGGGGAAGGGCAGGTGGCGGCTTCAGATTGGACCGAGGCCTCGGGTACGAGGGGTTGCGACACGGATGCGATACGTGTCGGATTTCGGCTGGACCACGCATCGGATGAGTCATCGGTTTCGGACACGAGGCAAGCAGCGAGCGAGGGTGACGTGGCTGAAGTTGAGCCATGCGAAACTCCTCGGTTTTAGCATTTTTCTCGATTTTTGTGTCTCAACCTTCTAAAATCCATAACTTTCGCATACGGGTTCCGTTTTTGACGTTCTTTATATGCACGCGTAGGTAGAATTATGCTCTACAACTTTCGTTTAAACTCCGTCGGATAATTTTGACGTTAATTTTAATATTATTATTTTTAATAGATCGGGACAGGAAAATCCGTTAAAAATTTATAAATTCTTCATCCGACGTCCGTTTTCGTCAGTCTTTTTACCGTTGTACTACTATTGACGAGACCTTCGATTCTCGTTTAGGTTGTGTCGGCTAAAAATCACTCGATCTAAAATTCGAGTTTTTAGCTGTCTACTGTTAAGCTGAAACTTAGAAAAATCATAACTTCCTCATACGAAGTCAGATTTGGGCGTTCTTTTTACGCATACTCTCGGTTTAACAAACACTACAACTTTCATTTAGATCACCAAAGCTAAAAAATAGTTTATCAAAAACTCACTTTTTACGTCAGACAACGTCGTGCCGGTTCTGTCGCGAAACTTCGACAGGTCATAACTTCTTCATTATAACTCGGATTTCAGTATTCTTTATATATCCGGAATCCTTGTCACGACCATTACAACTTTCTTAATAGATATCAGCTTTATCTAATATTTATTTTCGACGCTCATTTTTATTCTTAATTCATTAATCATAATAATTAAGCAGATAAGCACATAATTCACATAATTCCTCTTTATTACTTCAAAATGAGTTAGAAAGGTTAACCTCGACTATTACGTTAATATTAATGCCTAGCCTAGAAACACGGACGTTACACAATAAGAGTTAGATGAGACACGATTCATCAACACACTGATATATTTTCAGCTAACTACCGGTCTATAATCGTTAAATCTTAAGTGAACGAGAGATATATGTATAGATCTATATTGGATTAACACTCCCACCTGTTGTTGCTAGCTACAACCCAACAACTTGTCGAAGCAGGTATAACTTTCTAAACACATAGCGACTTCTGATGAAGCATCGTGGTTTTTCGGGATCAACAATCATAGCTCGATTATAGGAACTCGTCGTAACTTTGTTAAACTAAAACTAAACTATCATAAACTATTGATACCATACGTAGTGATAGATAGTTCACAAAAACTCGAGGAAACGAGTTCGAATACGCTCATTAAACTAAATATCCACTATTCTTGAGGAACGCCTTGAGAAGTAGTGCCTACAAAATGATAAAAGGAATATTAGGAGACTATTATCAAAACACTAACCATGAATTAAAGTGATAAGCAAAGATATACATCATATATCTAAATCAGGATTCAGATTTAGTCATTAACCTATCTGAATCCCATTAACAAAACACTATAAAATACGTTAACACACTAACATAGGTTGATAATACAACGAGTGCTAACTTAAGGACTTCGACTAAGTGTTTTTGCGCTTACCAAACCTGTGAACTCACCAACATTATCTTGACCCTCTCAAAATCATTTGTATTCCTAGGTAAACCAACATAAATAAAAGACTATCCAGCCAAAGAATACGAATGACTCTGAAACTACCAAAGAAGATGGTGATTACGGCAAAACTAAACATGAAAGCCTCTCCCATAAGCCAACATTTCGGAACGTCGCGCCGCTCAATGCTTCCGCCACCAGGCCGAGGGTGTGAGAACAACCTTTATGTGGGAGGAGTTTACCTTGCTGATTAGGTGTCATTTCCTAAATTAAATGATATAACACTTAATAAATACTACACCATGGCCATGCAATGTTTATAAACTCATACTTAATGAGTTATAAATATAAATAATGTTGGAGCATGTAAATGCTCTACAAATTATGAGTGATAAGTTAGGTTATTTATTATTTTTATTGTATTGTTGGTTTCTCTCTCCTTATATATAGAGAGAGTTGGTCCTGTTAAAAAGTAAGAGTGCACTAAAAATGTAGTTCCTAAAGAGAGAAAGTGTGGTGGGATCTCTCCCACCAGGGGAGAGTTATCTCTCCCAACCCATGTTCTTCATGTATTATTTTTATATCTCTTTTCTAGTAGATTATGGAATTACTCATCTTATGTTCTTCATTTATATTTTTATGATCGTTAAATCTCAAGATGTTCTTATTCCGCATCAACCGATCGTCAAAATGGTCAAGGAATGGAAAATGTGATAATCATGCGTTCTCGGTGAAGGCTTTTAAAAATCTTATTGATGATCCAGATGTTGGTAACGAGCATAAATTCACTTTGGTTAATTGGATTCCAATTAAACTAAACTGCTTTACTTGGCTTATGATGAAGAATCGTATTCCTTTGTATACAAATCTCGTGAAGCGTGGGATAGTTGTGGATTGTACTATGTGTCCTTTCTGTTTGAGCTCTGATGAAAATCTTGATCACATGCTTTTTTTTCCCGTTCTACTGTTTTCTAAACTGTGGGAGTGACTGATAAATCAGTCTTTAATCCTCAATCACATCCCTGTTTCGTGTGCTGATCTTGTCGAGATGCTGGAGTCGAAGGATAGAAGCAAGAAGGTGACCAAGTTGAAGTTGGCGCTATACAACAATGTGCATGTTGTGGAAAGAAAGGAATGTAATCGTTTTCCAGATAAAAAAGGTGACCAATTATGCTTATTGTAGAAGATGTTAGTACATGCACCTTTAATTATATCAAACATAGATACAAGTTGAATTTGTTTGATTGGTTTTGTTGGCATATGTCTCCTATCTCTAACGTTTTTTTTTGTAATATGCTAGAGCTTCCCGCTTTAGCGTGTTTTGTTTTGTTCTAATAATAATTGCTTGCCATTCAAAAAAAAAAATTGGAACCTACGATTAATCAAGGACAAGAAGGTATTAAGTTCGAATCTTTCGCCCATCTTTTTCGTAAGCAAGTAAAAAAACATGGATCATCTTTTTTTGCAAGCAGGTCAAAAAACATGGATCATGGATCTGAACAAACTCAATACATGTGACCTTGGATCTGGGCAAATCCGATGATCTTGACCCATGTATGGCTCATTCATCTTTCATTTTATTTATTTATTTATTTATTTTTAAAGTTCTAGTCCAAATTTTTTAATTTTTTTTACAAGCTTACAAATATAACGTTTTTTTGATAGTTTTTGCACAACTTTTTATTTTTTTTATATCAAATTTTGTCCAAATCTTTTTGTAAATTATTCCCAACTTTGTTATTTCATTTATCTTAAAGCTTGGTTTTTTATTTAAAAAGAATACCACTTTTTATAATTTATTTTGCATCTTTTTTAACAACTATATTTTTATGAATTAACTTTTTATATATAAATTTCCGCAACATCATGGTGTATCTTTAATTATAAACAAATCATGTAAGGACCCTTTGAATATATAAAAAAAAACTACACGATTCTTTTTTTCTTTTTAAAGGGACAACATGGGGTATATGTTTACATGAATAATTAATTGTTAAAATAAAATAATAAACGCATTTTGAATCTGTCCGTCAAAATCCATCTGCTGACTGACACGTAAGCACAAGTTTCACCACAATTTTCTCAATTTGCTCGAATTCATTTCATCGTTTCTTCCAATTTTCTTCTTCTTCTTCTTCTTCTCTCTCTCTCTCTCTCTCTCTCTCTCTCTCTCTGGTCTACACGATGTCGTTGCGTAGGTCGTTCGTATCACGTCGAACCAGCAGCCGGTCCAAATCGTTTAAGGAATTGACGACCTTATCAAAACCGCCGGAAATTAACATTGCTGCTGTTCCCGGAGACGACGACGTTGTCGGCGAACAGAACGGCGGTGAGAATAATGGACGAGATTCGTGGTCTAATATGTTGCCAGAGCTCTTAGGCGAGATAATCAAACGAGTGGAAACGAGCGATGACCGGTGGCCGCTCCGGAGAAATCTGGTTGCTTGTGGATGTGTTTGTAAAAGCTGGAGAGAAGTTACGAGAGAGATCGTAAAGCCTCCTGTTCACAGCGGGAAGATCACATTCCTTTCATGTCTTAAGCAGGTGCGATTTGGCTGTATATTACCTGATTTTAATTTGTTTCAAGCTTTCCTTGATTTTTATGTTGTTGATTCCACAGAGACTATAATCAATGAATTAAATGTAGTTAGTTAGTTTGTTTTTTCAATTTTCTTGTTAAATTGCTTTAGATTTATGTTTAGTCAGAAGATTATCCAGTTTGTTATGGAGAAGCTTTTGATTAGCTCAAACAACTGAAAGCAAGTAGCACAAGTCAAAACTCGATAAAGTCAATTCTATTGTGATAGCGATTATGAACAGTTTGGTAGCTGTTCATGGTTGACAATTTTGACTAGTTCTTATTTTGAAGTATTGTCCGGTAACCACGTCGTTCATTAGAATATTGTTTACTTCATCGTCGAATCCTCATGGTAATTTGGGGAATTGATGCTTCGTATATAATTTCTGCAAATTGTTACCTTCGAAGTTTCCATTGGTCACTTATTACGCTATAATAGATCCTTGAAATTTATCAATGTTGTTAATGGATAGACAAGCTTGATTATCTAACTTATTTTCATGTCTTTGCAGCCTGGTTCACGTGATTCTCCAATTCAATGCCTGATTAAAAGAAACAAGAAGAACTCAGTGTTTTACCTCTATCTAGCTGCTACTCCATGTAAGCATCCATAGCTTTAATCTCTTGATGAATAATGTATAGAACCAGACATGAGAGAAGATGATATTTCTGGTAACTTGTAATCAAAGTATTAATCATTTGGATTCCATTTTTGGCAGCATTTACAAACAAAGGTAAGTTTCTTTTAGCTGCAAGAAGATACAGACATGGTGCTCACATGGAATACATAATATCACTTGATCCAGACGATTCATCTCAAGGAAGCAATGCTTATGTTGGTAAATTAAGGTAAGTGACTATTTCTTATTTGTACTTAATGAGCTTAATGGGTTAAGCACATAATGACTATTTTACCCTTCACAGGTCAGATTTTCTTGGCACAAAGTTCACAATATACGACAGCCAACCACCAAACAATGGTGCAAAACACTTAAGTAGCAAATCTGTGAGGCGAATTGCAAGCAAACAAATAAGCCCACAAGTTCCATCAAGCAACTTTGAAATTGGAGAAACTTCATACAAATTCAACCTTTTAAAATCAAGGGGTCCAAGAAGAATGGTGTGTTCTCTAACATCCACATCACCAGATCAACAGTTTGACTCTGGTCAAACTCAAACCCTTTTGAGAAACAAAGCTCCAAGGTGGCATGAACATTTGCAGTGTTGGTGCTTGAATTTTCATGGGCGGGTGACAGTTGCATCGGTTAAGAATTTTCAGTTGGTTGCAACATTGGACCCGAGTCAACCGGGTGGGAAAGGTGATGGTGAAACGGTTTTGCTTCAGTTTGGAAAAGTTGGTGATGATATGTTCACCATGGATTATAGACAACCATTGTCGGCTTTTCATGCATTCGCCATTTGCTTGACTAGTTTTGGGACAAAGCTTGCATGCGAATAATAATGGCATCATGCGTTTGATTTAATTTTAGGAGTTTTGATGTATATATGATCTAAAATTTTTTTGTTTTGTTTTTGTTTTTGTTTTGTTTTTTTTTTTTTTTTTTTTTTGTAGTGTAAAATTGAATAATAGAAAAACTGTAAAGATAACATGTATCAGACTTTATGTTGATGTAATGGTAGTGCATGTTAGTGTATGGTTTAGGTATCCCCATATACTTCGGGTTAGTTTTGTAATTATAGTTTACTATGTTTACATTAGGTTATATATTTCTATAAAGTGAACATTATGTTTGATGAGGCAACTAACAGTTCAAAGTCTACTCCTGTTATCTCCATCTTAAAGATCGTTTGAACATCCTTACTTCATCGTGTTATCAAATTACTATAAACCATTATTGGAACCATATTATTGAATCGTTAAGATGAAAAGAAATATGTACCTTTATCTATTGAGCATGTCGTCTTCTTGATGCAGAACTTTGATAATGAAATATGTCTGACATGTGATGATCTTTCTCAACAAAGACCATTAATATTTCTTCAAACAAGGTGAATGATAAGGATTAAAGAGTATGTAGGAGATTGTTGTAACTTTGTATGTTAGGGAACAGGGACCATCAAATTTTATGCCTAAAAGTTTAGAGCAGCAAGTGATATCCAGCCTAGCTGGGGCCTGAGTTGATGCATCGGGTTTTATACCCTATATGAGGTGTGAGGTTAGGAGTTCAATTCCCGTTAAACTATCTCTTGTGGTGCCACATATGAGAAATTTTTCCCTGAAAATCCCTGTGGGGACTGAGTTTGCCTGTAAAAGAGCTCGAACCCAGGATGCTTGTTGAAATATTGAGAGTAGGCTTCCGCTTAATTTGTTTTCCGTTTCAAAAAAAAAAAGTTTAGAGTATATGTGAAACTCTAATAATAATATTATTAATCTATGACATTTAATCTAGAATATAATAGTAATTTATAACTCTGAAACGTGTAACACCCACATTGATAATTAGTAAATTATAATATTTATAGCTTGATTATTTTAATTTTCTAACAATATCTCATTTGGATGTTATATGGTTGAAACTATCTTACAAATTCTTTAGGCTCGTTGTATTCAGTTGTAACTTTATTTCCTTTAGAACAATTTGGTTCATCTTATGTATAGTGATATTTAGTGAAAAGTGACCCCCGCAGGGTTTGCAATGCATTCCATTAGAATATATAATACATTAGTATAATATGTTACAGAAAGGACCCTATACTATATGTATACATGTAAACCTACAATATATAAATAAGACACGTTAACACTCCACCTCAGTTTGAGCGAGAGGTTTACGAATGCTTAAACTGTTACGAAAATCTGTAAACAACTGTGTAGGTAGTCCTTTCGTGAAGATGTCAGCAAACTAATGTGCAGATGGAACATGCAAAACGCAAACCTGTCCAATGGCAACACGTTCCCTAACAAAGTGCAAGTCTATTTCCACATGTTTGGTTCGTTGGTGCTGAACCGGATTAGACGCTAAGTACATAGCGCTCACATTTTAACAAAACACAATAGTAGTACGGGTTAGAGGACATGAAAGGTCGAGTAAAAGATTGTGAAGCCAATCAGCTTCAACAACGACATTAGCTACCCCTCGATACCCAGCTTCGGCGCTAGACCGAGAGATGACATGTTGACGTTTTGATGACCATGAGATGAGATTATCGCCAATATAGACACAAAATCCGGAAGTGGACCATCGTGTAAAAGGACAGCCGACCCAGTCAGCATCAAAATACGCAACCAAACGATCGACATGAGATAGACGAATATAGAGATCATGAGAGAAAGAACCTAAAGATAACGTAAAATGCGTTTGAGAGCAAGGAAGTGTGGTTCACGAGGATCATACATGAACAGGAAGACCTGTTGAACCGCATAGGCTATATCCGGACGAGTGAAGGTCAGATATTGTAAAGCCCCATCAAGACTTCTATACAGGGTTGGGTCAGAATCTGGTTTCCCAATAAGTGAGAGTTTTGGTTTGGTGTCTGTCGGAGTACTACACGGATTACAAGAGGACATATCAGCACGATGTAGGATCTCTTTAGCAAAAGAAGCCTGTGAGAGAAACAGACTTCTATCCGTACGGGTAGCAGTAATGCCGAGAAAAAAAAAGATAAAGGACCTAAATCCGTCATAGCAAACTTAGACGAGAGCCGTGAAATAACTCTCGTAATGAGGGAGGGACTAGAGGGAGTTAGGACGATGTCATCTACATAAAGAAGGAGGTATATCGTCTCAGAACCGTGATGATAGTTAAAAAGAGAACTGTCGGAACGACTGCTTTTAAAACCAATATAAGAGATATATATGGAAAACCTCTAGTACCAGGCTCTAGGAGCCGGTTTGAGGCCATACAAGGCTTTGCGTAACCGACACACATAATCAAGATGTTGGTGGTGTACGTAGGCTGGAGGTTGTTTCATGTAAACCTATTCAGTGAGATCGCCATGAAGGTAAGCATTTTTAACATCTAGCTAATGGATAGGCCGTTGACGAGAAACAACGATGCTTAGAACGATGCGTATGGTGGCAGGTTTGACCATTAGACTAAAAGTGTCATCAAAATCTAAGCTCGATTGTTGAGAGAATCCTTGAGCCACAAGACGAACTTTGTAGAGGTCAAGTTTTACTTGGGAATCAAACTTGTGATGGTAAAGCCAATGACAACCAACAATGTTAGCATTTGGAGGTCGAGGAACTAACTCCCAAGTGTGATTGGAATTTAGAGCTTAGATCTTTGCATCCATGACAGACTTCCAGTTTGGGTCACACATAGCTTGAGCAGTGGATCTTGGAATAGGAGAGATGTCAACAGTGTCAGAGAAATTAAGGATAAAACGTGGTTTCAGGGACCCAGTACGAGAACGAGTAGTCATGGGACGACTAGTATAGGGGGGTAGGAACAGTCGAAGTTGGGACTGTCAGAACTGTAGGAGTAGATGTGGAAGGAGCTACATATGTAGGTATAGAAGGAGATGGAGGAGAATCCATAGTTATGATAGGAAGGGAGAAGGGAGATGGTGGATCTTCTGTTGGATTAGGTGTTTAAGCCCATAACTATAATTAGTATGTACTTGATTTGATATGTAGCATGGTCCTTTTGGGTTGCCTTCACTCATGCAACTTGACAGAATGACTAGTGGAGAGAAAGAGTAGGATTTATTATATGGATAATAAATTGGTACTCAGAATGATTTTATTAATATATTATTTGGAAATCATATTATTAATTAGTAATTAATAAGAAATTAATTTGATATTAATTTTGGGATTAAAGGAACTGATTAATAATGAAGGGACTGGTTTTTCAAATCACTGATAGTTGCAAAGTTGGGCTGATGGACTCCTTTGGGAGGACTGGATGAAATCTATAGGAGGCCCTATAGAATTCGTCCAAGGCTTCTAATTAAGGAGGTCCATGGACTGCTTAAGGCCTAAGCAAGGAAATTAGGGTTTCCACTTGAAAACCCAAGCAACCACAACTATTTAAAGACCCTCATGCATGGATTTTCGGCCACTCTTGTCTTTGGAAGAACCCTAGCCGAATTCATAGCATGTCTCCTACTCATTCTTTGCATTGGGTGTTTGTGACTCCATTAGAGGTGCAATACTTGGGGCACTAGGCTTTCAGAAGTCAAGATCAAGCAATGATTGTTCTTGTTATTACAATATAACAAGTAAGGTAATCATCTAACCCTAATATATATATATATATATATATATATATATATATATATATATATATATATATGTGTGTGTGTGTGTGTGTGTGTGTGAATTTCGAAATTGTTTATACTAGATCTAAGGTTATTGCTTTGGTGTTCATATTTGTATGTTCAATAGAGAAAAACTTAGATCTAAAGCAATTAGGGTTTCATGATCATATAGGAATGTAGATATGCTCAAAACCCATCAGTGGTATCAAAGCCTAGGATGTTTTTCAATTGAATTGGTACAAGAGTGAACTGTCCAAAGAACAAGAAATCAATTTTTTTTGCTGTCTGTCACATGAACTCGACGAGTCCATTATGAACTCGACGAGTTCAGAGCCCAACTCGACGAGTTGACTCGTCAGTTACCTAAAATTTCGATTTTCAGATTTGTTTTTGATTTGGATAATTACCATAATTCATTTTTATTGCCTAAAATCGATTTTTCTGATTGGTATCATCATATGCTTATGAAAACAAAAGGATTTGGTTAATTTTGGATAATATAAGATTATTTTGATTCAAAGATTTAACCTAGATTTTGAAAAGTTTCAAATTACACCCTTTGGTTTTATAGTTTGAATTTGAAATTAAAAGTTTTAATTTTTTGAAAATTTAAATGGTAAAACCCTAATATTTTTAATAGTTTAAAAATACACACTCATGGATTTAATTAATTAATTAATTAGGTGTTTTAATTAAAAGACAATTAATAAATCCATAAATGGGTTTAAATTTAATTAAATTAAAAGATTAATTTGTTAAAAGATTAAACCACTTAGTATTTTAAAAGTTTAAAATGCACCCTTATACTATTATAGAATTAAAAGTTTAATATTATATGTATAAGAGAAAAGTCAGTCTTACCGTTAGTAAGCCCCATTCACGAAGCTGGTCTATAAGGGGTGTTTAAGGAAGCGACCTGTAAAATGACCGCCATTGGGTATCCACTCTTACCCACCGCACCCTTGACCAGTGGAGCGTCGTTATCCGAACGGGTTTGATAGGACATTAAATCTTATTAAAAGTATAATGAAAATACCAAGTAACTAAATGCTTTTATAAATTCCCAAATCTTAGATACTTTAGGAAAATGTGAATTTGATGCTAATCCATAAAATTGCACATTGCACCTTATTGGTCAGTTAGTGGAGCATGTGTGGTTAACCGACACACTAATGTGGACTAATGAAGGATGGCAATGGGTAGCTCGTAAATTACCATAGATCGATGGAGCGTGTGTGGCTAACCGACACATTGATTAGGTGATAAATGACATCGAGAGTGCCAATC